AGAAGATTTGAAGCCAGTGAACACTTAGATAAGCACATCCATAAAATGGACAAAAATTATCAATGTATTTCCGTTGATGTAACTAAATATCGAGGTATGATCAAATCCCTTATTTACTTAACAGTAAGTAGACCTGATATTATGTTTAGTGTGTGTTTATGTGCTAGATTTCAATCAAATCCTAAAGAATCACACCTTAATGGCATAAAAATAATTTTTAAATGTCTTAGTGACACTAAACCTTAGGCATTTGGTATTCAAAGGGCAGATACATTGACTTGCTATTCGGATTTCGATTGGACCAGTTGCACCATTGATCGCAAAAGTACTAGCGGAATATGTTATTTTCTAAGCTTTGCACTTGTGTCATGGTTTAGTAAGAAACAAAATTTCATTGCTTTATCTATCGTCAAAGTCGAATATATTTCGGCAGCTAGTAATTGTGCACAAGTATTATGGATGAAACAAACCCTTAGTGATTATCACTTATCATTTGATCATATACCTATCATGTGTGGTAACATTAGTGCCATAAATTTACCAAGAAATCCTATCTTGCACTCTCGAACGAAGCACATTGGGATTAGACATCACTTTCTAAGAGATCATGCACAAAAATGAGATATTGTATTGAAATTTATAAATACGAAAAATCAATTGCTTGATATTTTCATTAAACCTCTAGTACTTGATCGATTCTCACATATTCAAAGAGGTTTGGACATTATTGATGAATTCGGCGTGCGTGGCTAAATTGAATTCATACTATGTGTTCTTACTTTTTTTGGTATTGTTCACTATTTATTATATATTTAGTTTAGTATGGTGTTAAAAAAAGGGTTAGCGATGTCCGGTCGATCGGAAGTGGTCAACTGAGAAACCAGAATGCTTTAAAATAAAACACAAAAAAGGGTGTCCAGTCGACCAGATGGTGCAGGTGATCGACCGACAGTTTGGATTTTACGTTTTTAACAGCTTCAAACCCTCATTTTTCATCCATTTCTCTCACTTTTATTCTTCTTCACCATAGATCTACTTCCAAGTTCACTATATCCACCATTCATCTTCAAAGTCTCAACAAGATTTCAAAAACCCAACTTTTTCACTTCAAAGCTCTTAAAAACCCCAATTTTCTTTCGCCACAACTTTTATTTCTCTTTCTTTGACAGCCAGCAGCGCCCTAGACTTTTCTTCCACTTTTTTCTACATATACTAGTGGAGATCGTGCGTTGCACGATTACTATTATAAATTTAGAAATGATTTTTGTTAAAACGACAAATTATTTCATAGATGTAGCAACTCAGAGATGATAATGCTCCTCTCTTACTTGGTAAT